TTTTTTTTTTTTTTTTTTTTTTTTTTTTATATTTTTTTTAGTTTTTTGCTAAACAAAAACCAAAAACAAAAAAACAAAATAAATAAATAAATAAAAAACAAAATAAATAAAAAAATAAATAAATACATAAAATAAATAAATAAAAATAAATAAATAAATAAATACCTTTGAGTAAGCGAGACAACAAGGGGCCTCTCACCCCGATACAATAAAACAACCAAACAAAAGCCAAAAAAAAAAAAACAAAAAAACAAAAAAACAAAAAAACAAAATAAACAAATAAAAAACAAAATAAATAAATAAAAATAAATAAATAAATAAGTAAATACCTTTGAGTAAGCGAGACAACAAGGGGCCTCAAAGCCAGGTACTAATCTTTTATATGAGTTAGTTGTTGGGTTAGTTAAAGCGAGAAGAGAATCTGCATGCATCAGGATACCCCCAATAGCATATAAAGCTTCATCAGATAGCTGGCAATAGTTTTCTTTTTCTCCTCCTGCTGCTGCTGCTGCTGCTGCTGCTGCTGGTGCTGCTGCTGCTGCTGGTGCTGCTGCTGTTGGTTCTGTTGCTGTTGGTTCTGTTGCTGCTGCTGCAGTTGAATTTTGTTCTGCTGCAGCATCATCTGTTGCTGCTGCGTCATCAGTTGTTCCATCTGCTGCTGCTGCTGCTGCTGCTGCAGCAGCAGCAAGAGCAGCAGGAGAATGCTGATAGAAGCAGTTTTGCTGCTGTCGCCAAAAAGACAAATGAAGATGGAGTCCTGATCCTGCTGCTGATGCGATTGGTTTAGGGAGAAAGGTAGCAGTGAGTCCTTTATAATGAGCTATATTTTTTACGGTATATTTATAAAGAAGAAATGCATCAGCAGCAGCAGTTAGAGTATTATATTTAACCCCCAATTCATGCTGACAAACACCCACCTCGTGGTGATGTTTCTCTGCTGTTAAACCCAACAAATGCAACACCTTAAGCATCAAAGAACGAAGGCTATACCGGCGGTCTTCAGGTGGACAGGGGCAATACCCACGACCAGAAACACCCCGGTGACCCTGGTTTCCATGCGTGCTAAATACAGCTGAAATAAATATAAAATACACAAATTAATAAAAGAAAATATATATAAAAATATTTAAATTCTTTTTCGCAGATTTTTTGTGTATTATTTCATATATTATACACCCCATACACCCCGGGGGGGGAGCTGCGGTTGGTTGCTGAAATAAAATAAATAAAATAAATAAAATAAATAAAATAAATTAAATTAATTAAATTAATTAATTAAATTAAAAATAAATAAAGTGGGTTTTTTCGTTTTATTTATATAATTTGCTTCATTTCGGTGTATTATTTTTTATTTTTATTTTTTTTTATTTTTTTTTTTTTGATTGAGCTGCGTATACACCCCGGCACCACCGGTCACCGTGGGTGGTCTCAATACAGCAGAAAACAGAAATAAATAAAATAAAT